TCGTTTGTAAAAATATCTTTTGATGCTTAGATTTGTCAACAAAATTTTTAAAATGTTTTGTAAGAGTTTTTTTTTTTCTTTTTAAATCCTTGAATGAGTATTGGTCGATGATTTCTGCATAGTATTACTTTGCACTAAAAATTCATACAAAAATTAGATATACGAATATTACATTAAATCCTTAAATCAAGTTGTATGCCCGAGGGGCGACTTCGGTTTGAGGAGAAAAAACTTGAAATAAGAGAGGGAGAGGGGCTCGGGATAAAATAGGGTCTTTTTATGAAGAAATTTTCAACATGTTTTCCGTCGGAAATTAAGTAACATTTATATCAAAAAATCCATAGGTAATCACTGATAGAATTTCCGACAACAAAATTCCGCCGGAAATTACTAATGGAATTTTCAAAGGAAAAATATATGCCGGTAATTTCCTACGGATTTTCCAGTGGAAAAATTCTTCTAGAAACTTCGACAATTTTTTCTACAGAAATTTCACCCATAATTTTTTTACAGAACTTCCGACAAAAATTCTAACGTAGCCGAAAATTTCATTGGTATTCCATGAATTTCCTATGATGTTTGATTTTCCTTAACTCCTGAGTTGATCAAGGTTCTTATAATTTGGTAGGTTAGCCTATCTCCACTTTTTATTTAGGTTAGCCTATTTCAAGAGTATGGTATAACACTATTGCCTGAGTACTTGTCAATAATATATGCAAGATTACATGTGATGCTCATGAACATATCTCATGTAGGAGCTGATAATTAAATTAGTGACAAATAATTCCATAAAGAATTATCAAGGGATTCTTTTTTTGTCAAAAATAAATAGGGTCTTCATGAGAAGTGGGAAAAACTAATAGAACCACCACTTTCAATTCATTTTGGAGAAGAAGATATACTAAGAATTCTTGATATTCCTCATATTAAACAAATTAAGTACTAGCTACATAATATCAATTCGTGGATGAAGAAAAAATATTTGAAGTTGATTTTTTTAGCTCATCTAAAAAAATCTCATGCAATTCTGTTGAAGAAATATGATAAAAATAAAAAAGTAAATATCCAAGCTTCAAAAATTTTATTTAAACGCACTTCACAAAATTGTGAGAGAGGCAAAGATGGAACACCATCCATAAATAAAGTCTACTACTCTACTGGTCCAAAGACCATAACAAATGATCATGAAAAGATAATGAATGTTCTTGTCCTTCTTCAAATCCACTTGATGTCTATTCATAAAATTCACGTATTCTAGAGGAAGTGTTGAAACATATATGTACTAGACTTTCATTTGTAAATATAATTCATATATTTTTTAAAGATGTTGAAAAAAGTAAATATTGATGAGTTGGATGTAATCACGAGTGATTGTAATAAAGAACTTATGAATATCAAATATCTTCAAGAAAAATACAAACAAAGGTATACTACTAATGCCAAAGAAGAAATGGCCCTAGAAGGTTAATTATCGAGTTATTGAATTGAGTTATCAACTATGTTAACCTCTATTTCTATACAATGTCTAAAGACTGATCGTTCTAGATATGAGTTAGTGGAAGGGCAAGTAGATAAGAGAACTTTTGAAGAGGATGATACAATAATACAAGTGTGATGCCCTAGGATCTAATGAAATGTTGAAATACCTAAACGTCTAATTACCTAACTCACATGTCCCGATGTCTATTTATAACTTCATTTTCGCTTATGCCGCTATTTTTTACCTCCCACGCCATATATAGTGAGGGCAGAGTCCCTCTCACATCAGCATAGACAAATTGGGCTAGAATAGTACATACAATATTACATAACCTCTCACATCAACTTTCATCAAGTGGGGATATAATTCCTCCCACATCTGCACTAGGCATATGAGACCATGATAGTAATGATAGTACATATAGTGTTACATAACCTCATACACCTGCTTTCAACAAATGGGGTCATAATCTCTTCCACATCTGCACTAAACAGATGAGGGAAGAATATAACATTTAAGCCACTGGTCAAACATCAGAGAGTGCACTTTTCTACATATTAGAATTTCTCTAATGCCATGCTATGAACAATGTAAATGCAATTACAAGAGTAAATGAATTGTACTTTACCATGCAATATATATGTAATGCATAAATTGCAAATAAAAGCCATGGTGCTTGTGAAATATGTTATCCACTAAATTTATCCGATCAATTTCCAACTTGAGAAAAATATTTATATAAATATTTTAAGACATTTATATAACTACTGTGATTGCTAGAAAAATCTCAATCAAGTCATATCCTCAGAAATTTGTATAGGCAAAACCATCTGATGAAAATTCAAAATTTTATAGTCAAAATGTTCAAAGCAGAGAATGCAACAATATATAAAAAGTTAAATGGTGAAAACTTTTTAAAATTTGAGAAAAATGCATTCCAATCCATAACATTTTATACAATAGCAAAAATTAAAATCAAAGAAATGTTCAGAAGTCTACCTTATGCTCTATAATAACCTTAACTGGCCCGATGAACGAAACTCAAGCTTTAGCCTTCAAATTCTCTCTCTTCCTCTCCCCTCTTCTTTCCTCCCCTTCTCCTTCGTAAAAACCCAAACTCTTAATTATCTATATATTGTATACTTTGGTTTAAGGGCCTCATGATTTTGTCTTGTTGGTATAACTTCCAAGGAGGTTACCCATCACAAGATTTCTCTTGGATGAACACGCTTAACTGCGGAGTTTCTTATTGAAATTCCAACCATTACACCAAAAGGTGCCTAGATGTTTAAGAATTTAATTTATTTTTACTTAAAGGGTTTCACAATCTTTCCCACATAAGTAACTGACATCCTCATGAATATCTTTAGCTCATAATCATCTACCAGGAAGATAGGATTCTAGAGGCGATCCCTAAAAGTTCAATTGGTGACTCCAGCCACGTAGCACTTTATCCCATACAAGATCAAGAGGTGGCTCCCATAGCGTAGCATTTTGTCTTGTATGACACTTAGTTCCCAACTTTTGGCTTACAAGAGGATGACTCAAAATCACATTCAAGAAGTTCGTAATCATATATTTAATGTAAAGGTGAAGTACTTAAAATGCTAATGACTTGAAGAATATTTTATTTAGGGCTTTCTAAAAAGAGCTCATTGGTGCATTATAAGACTGGAGTTAACATAGATGGTCTTACACCAAGCCAGGTACTCAGGTGTATGAAAACTTTCCCTGAACACGGGATATAGATGCTGATGCAAAAAGTGGACCATCCTCTCGTGATATTAGTAGAAGATACACAGATTATATTATTCAGTTCATATTTCTATGCTTTATTTTTCCTTCATATATAAATTTGGTCAATCTTTTGACATGTTTGTGAATGTAATTTTAATCAAGCTCCTTCCTAAGGAGTGTCATGAGGTATTCCATTTGAAATTTTATCTCCCTTAGCCTATTAGGATGGGATGCATTCTCCAACATTAATGTGTGATAGAAGATACTGAAAAAAATTCACCAAAGATTTTTGACCTATCAATGATTATTTGGTAGAGTGTTACTCGATGGTCTTAACTTATGCATAAGAGATTGATTCCAATCACCTTATGATCGATTGAACTTTTATTGGGATGGAGCTAACGCCATTTGTATCTCAAATCAAAGATAAAAATTGGCCTACTTTAGACCATATATGATATATGCCCTTTCAAGATACTGGACATAACTATGCTCATTCAGTAGAAGTTTAACCAGGGATCACATATGAACCTTTTATAAATTATATTTATTTGGAGTTATTAATATTATTTCCAAAGATTTTTAGCATTCAAAATTCGAAGTAGAATCTTCTCATCTAAATCTTTATGTTTAAATGTTCCTAATTTGACCATGAAATCCACTACATTAGGTCCTTCCTATATGGGCGAACGTTTATTGCATTAACATCCTTTCCAAGCAGCTATAAGACTTCTTAAATATAGATCTCCAACAAAGATAGGTCGGGCTCTCACCCTTCAATTGATGTAAAGAGTTGCTCTCCAGTGGTAAGAAGGACTTATAAATGAATCCGCATCACATATTTCTAGAAGAAGATCAAGATAATAATGGAGCTTTTTCTCAGTACTAACCACATCAAATGATTTGACCCTAGGGTTTGGGACACAAATCTCAACAAGAATAATTGCTTTTATGCTAAAAAATATAGATTATAAGGTGTTTCTCCTATTATAATTTTTGGCATAGTACAATAAACTCATAGTACTTTGGAAAGCTCTTCAGCTAATTACATTCCATTCTTTTCAAAGTGTGTATTTAATCCTTTGAGAATAATTTGATTTGTCAATTTTGTTTGTACATTTGTTTGCGAATGTGCGACACTCATGTGAACTAATTAAATATGAAGATTTTTCTAAAAATATATAAATATTTTTTCAACGAATTGAATTTTATTGTTTTAAATGATCTTTATGGAACGGCAAAAGCTGCAAATGATGTTTTCATATGAACGATTATATCTAAAAAAGACTTAGCAAGTGTTCCCAGTATTATAATCCCGTCTTCTATAATTGTGGAGAAAAGTGAATTTTTATAACATCAAATATATGATGAATCATTTTAATTGGGCTAGGCTGCATGAATTTTTTTTCTAGATTTTTCATGTAGCTTTTCTACTATTTACCTATGTTCGTGCAGATTTCATGAAAACCTATGACATAAAACTCTCCATCATCACAAGTTTTCTAGCACACATTTAAACTTAGTGCAAATCATATCATGATTTCTCCAAAAAAAAATTTCTATTAAGTGCATAAACTTAACTAGATCTAACACAAAGATTGACAAAATTGACTATGAACTTTTGACTCAAGTCAAAAGCTAAATGGCTGATTTCTACTCACTTGAACTCGATCCCATAACAATATATTAGGGTATCTGCTTTCACAAAAAAAATTTCTGAAGCTGAAGTAGCTCCATAAGTAGTAGCATTAGGTGGAATCGCAGGCAATTTTACTGCAGCCATTCTTTTGGCTATTTCATCAAACAGCTGGTGCTCAGTTCTTAATCTACAGATGATCGTGATGAACTCGATCATTGGTGGTGTTTCCATACGCATTATTAATGTGTAAACTATTATTTATGGATCCTACAAAAAACAAGATGAAAAAAGATTTTTTATGTATTTTTTTCAATATTCTGTTTCCCACAACATGAGCAAATTGCGCATCACAGCCGTGCGGGTGAATTAATTTGTCCCTGCCTACAAGAACATCAAGTACAAGGTGTAATTAAGCTACCTGAGGCCAGTAGCAAGATCCACATCCCAAGCTCTAATCAATGTCGATAATGCCTGGGCAGACCACGCTGTAAAGATTCTTGATGCCTCCCCTCCCAAATCTCTCGCATTGTCATCCACAATTTACCACAACCCTATATATAAGCATGTCAAGAGATCATCTTCCTTAGAACCCCTGCAGCTCATCCTGCAATAGCCAATCTCATCGACCAAGCATGGCCTATCAAGCTTTCAACCTTCGATCAATCAGCTTTCCATTTAGATCCCGCCCTGCCACCCTCCGAGTGGAAGAAGAACTCGACAAGGTCAGGACTTGTGCCGCTTCCTCAACTACAGAGTCAGTTTGCGACGGGTTAAGAGGGCTCGGAGAAGTCTACGAAGAAATCGATGAGCTTCTCCGGCAACCCGGAAACCAACAATCCTTCTCCCATCCGAATCATAGGAAATGGGTGGAGAAGGAACTCGACCTCTCTCTCCAGCTGCTAGATCTCAGCGGTGCCATTAGGGACGGTCTGTCGGCCACGACGGCCCATCTCCAAGACATTCAACTCTCCATTCGGAGAAAAGATTGCTCCAATGCAAAGATCAAAGCTTTTCATCATGTTTCGATTAGTTTTCGCTCAACGAAGAAAAACATCGCGAATTCGTTGAGATCGTTGCAGAAACAGACGGAGAACGGCAGAAAGATCACGTCTTGCTCAGGCGTTGCGGCAATGTTGGTAGAGGCGAGGGAGATTTCTGTTTCCCTCTTTGGATCCGCTTATTCTTTGTTGACGGAGGCGACGGGGAAGCCGAAGGCCAGCAGGTGGTCGTCGTTTGTGACCAGGCAGCTGCATCACAAGAAGGTGGCTTGCGGTGTGCATGAGGTTGAAAGTGAAGGGGAATCATTGGTAGCTCTCCTCAGCAGCATTCAAAAGCTGGATTTTGAATTGGAATCTCTTTTCAGGAGATTGATACGAAATAGAGTCTCTCTCCTCAACGTCCTTAGCTTTAACCGTTCAAACTGTGAAAAGATGAAATTTAATTAAAGAACTTCCTAATCATGCTCAATATGTAATCTTTGTTAATTAAATTATAATAAGTAATTCACACTGAACGCAGGTTGGGAGTTTTAAAAATCAACTATAGTTTTATTTTGAACAGCTTTTCATTATTTTTTAAAACGATTTGTTAGCATAAAATTTTTATTTTTTACTAAAAAAAATTATTTTAAGAAGTAGTGAGAAATTCGTCATGATCATAAAAAAATTAAAATATCCTTGAATAAATATTTATACTAATTTCAACTATTAATTTTTTTAGCTGATAAATTTTAATCTATCTTTATTATGTCATATTAATTAAATAAAAGATTTAAGCTTAAAACATTCATGTAATATTGAATAAAACATAGATCTCACAATTTTATTTAAAATAAAAAATAAAACCATAGCCATTAGAGGGTAATATATTTTTACTCAGGCTGAACTATAGGGTGATTCAAATTCACTCACAAAATATTTTATCTTTGAAACATAGTCGTCCAAACACCCTAATTTTAAAAACCACTGTATTTTTGTTATTAAAATAGAAGCATAAAATTAAGTGTTGCAGAGATAATGATGCTCAAACAGATAAGTGAATTTGCATTTAGAGACAAAATGCAATATACGCATATACCTGAAAAGGTCGGAATTTCTTCAGTGGCAGATAAGATTAGAGTGAATCGTCTTAAAAAGTTTGGTCACATAAAATGTCAGCCTTCACTCCATTAAAAGAGCAGATGTAATAGATCTAGCATAAGTTAAGAAATATAGAGGTATACCTAAAAGACTTGATTAAAGAGAGATAAGATTTCCATGACATCCAATTATTCAGTCCAAGAAACAACAGGACAACAAACCATAGGTTTGCATTATATGAAATTTGAACTTCATAATTTATGAAAGAATACAATGCTTGCTTAGTAAACATAGAAACTAGCATCAAATGTACCACAGGTTACACGAAACCTTCATTAAAACCTCTGTTCTACTAAGACTGTATGGAGATCATGCAACAAAGATGATAAGAGAAAGCTGCTGCCCCAAGATAAGCAAAGTCACTCGCCTTCACTGAGGATGGGAACAATCAACGGGTTCATCTGTGCAATGTACACAATCGCCCACCTAACAGTTGAAAGCCATGATAAGAAAACAAGGAAATTTTTTTCATGGCAGAAGCCATATATAAAGTTCAATTCCAACAAAAAATGGCAAACCATTACTAATTCTAAAAAGAATATTATTGGGTCTTTGTGCTCCTGTAAGTGGAAGCACTACGGAAAACTTGCAAAGATCATAAATCAATGTAGTAAGGAGTTCAATAAGGTACTGATGAGATTTGAGAGCTTACATCATCCAACAGCATATTGTAGCAGTAATTATCAACGTCGAATGAAACCTGGATCAAAAAAATGTATTCTGAATTAGAAATGGCCGCTATAAGTTTACTTGAGTCCTATTAAGAATTAAATTCTAATCTAAATCTAATAACGAAAGGTCATTTCTAATATTTTCTAATTTAGTCTTTTTAGGTCTACCTCTAGCTTTCTTAACATAAGTCAAATCTACTACATCTACTTTCCTAATCGGGTCAACGGGAGGCCGCCATTTTATGTGATCAAACCATTTAGGCGGTTATCTAGTCATTCAAGTTTGTACTGTTCTTTTTCTCTACTATCTCTTGCAGCCTTCATAGTCTTTCATATGTCAGAGCATAACTTTCATAGGGTTACAACTCACACAATAAAAAAAAAGTATGAAAAAATGCAAAAAAGAAAAAAAAAAGACTCAGTGGGGTTCAAAATGCCTCGGCGCTGTACAAAAAGTTTTTCAAGGGCTTCACCCTCAAACCCCCGAGCAGGAGGCATGCTATCCCTACGACCCCCAACAAGCTCCTCATCAAGCTCCACCGATGGAATTGAAATATAAGTTAACAGCAAACTCCACAAAGAACTAACAAATCAAAGAAAATACTTGTGATTCTGATTAAGCTATAATTCTAGCAACTAATTTCAGACTGACCTTGCAGATTTATGATTCAATCAAACACAAGCAACTTGTGAATCACTGCAATGATGAAAACATTACTTATATTCTAACTTCATTGTCACAACAAAGCGACTGAACTTCCGATAACATTTTCCTTACCTACTTAAGAGCGTGCAACAGTTAAAATTCAGGTGCAACAATATCTGTCTCATAAGAGCAACAATTACATTGTTTTTCCAACCACATAACCCCAAGGAACCGCAAAGAAGCCATATGGATCAGATTTCAGACCTTCCTCATATCAATATGCCATAAATCCAAAAGACACGAATTCCCCACACAAGAAAGGAAAAGAGAATGCTAACTTAAGAAAGCACAAATCCAAACAGATTTCAAACTCCAAGAACCCTAAAATTTTATAAAATCTACGGCGTTCACATACCAGCGTGTGGAATCAACAGTTGTATGAGATAAATGCGAAGAATATAGAGGATTAAGCGTTACAAATTAGTGGAGGGGCCTCGGTTGAGGCAGAGGCTGACGGAGAGAGAGGCCACAACGCCGGCGATGAGAAAGATAAAGGTCGTATCCAAGAATCCCATGGCGATAAAGATGTCGATCTCTCTGTTTCAGCGATGTCTCAAGATCCGACGGCAGTAAGATTGTTGGGAGAAAATCAACAAAAAACAAATATTTTTCTCTGTTTGCATAAAAGATCGGGAGAGAGGGCCTTCATAGTGCAAGGGTTCCCAAATTCTTTTATCTCATAAGTGTCATTGCTGTCTTAAATTTTAATATTTATCGTATTAACACCGAAATCTTTATATCAAATAAAATATATTACTAATATTCATTGTTTTATAATTAAATATTCATTTTTTTCTGATATAATTTAAACATTAAAATATTATATAGATAAATTTGAAAGTTTTTATATTTACTAAATATATAAATACAAAAAATAGGTTGCATGTATGTAAATCTTCCTATCCTAAGATAAATTATTTTCTATGCATTAAATCTATATATTGTTGTGTATCAAAACATTCATCTGTCTTTGTACGAAGATCTAACACACATGAACAGAGATAAGAGAGACAAGTGCAACAATTATAAGAGACATCAAATTTTTTAAATGGAAAAGCTCAAGAAAGGGAAAGCTCACAGGGCGTGACCTAGTCAAAATGATTCCACTAGTATTTGTCATTGATTACAAATGCCTTCCTCCGAGGAAGGTGTTGCCTCAATGTAGCAAATATACATCATATTAAGTAAATTACTTGATCATAGTAGGAAGAATCCAATAACATGAGAGTTGTTCTCAAGAGAACGTTGGCTAGTTTGTACCGAGATTGTAGTAAGGCAACTAAGGTTGAGGATCGTAGTTAGGAGACTGAGGTTGAGGATTGTAGCTAGCGATTGAGGTTTCAGGGACCATAGTCAATGAATGGAGGAGGCCAGAAGTACTGTAATGATGATTGAGGTCTAAAGGACTATAGTTGGTGACGAAAGTCGGAGGGACCGTAATCAATGAGTGATGAAGGTTACAAGGATTGTAGTCGAGTGACGGGTCTGAAGGATAGTATTTGACGACAGACAAATGTTGGAGAGACGTTAATTAGGTGACTGAAGTCGAAGGACCATAGTAGGGCCATTGTAGTTGGGGGGGCTATAGTGGGGGCGGTGATCAAAGGGATCACAATCTGGCAAAAGAGGTTGAAGGATCGTAGTCGGCTAGTGAAGTAGGTCGGAGAGATCATAGTTGGACGACAGAGCTTGGAACGACCGTAGTCGTGAGACAGTGGTTGGAAGGATCATATTCAACAGGACTATGGTAGGAGGGACCGTAGTCAAGCTACGAATATCGAAGGATCGTAGTTGGTTGGCGATGGAGGTCGGAGGAACCATTGTCATGTGATAAAGGTCAAAAGAACGTAGTCAGGTCGGGTGATAACTGAGGTCGCAGGAACCTCAAGCGATGTAGGTCGGGTAATACCTCCAAATTTAGTATTCAGTTGAACCTGTTCTGATATAATTTGAAGATATAAATGCTTCAATTTCTATATTTTGAACTCTTTTGCATGTGTTTGAAATTGTTTTGTGTATGAAAAAGACATGTATGTGTTTTGAAGTGAATTCTACGAAAAGTGAATTTATTTGTGCATGCTAAATTTTTTACAACATTGAGATATAAAACACACATTCTATCGATTCAAAATTTCTAACACACACACACACACACACATATATATATATATATATATATATGTCGTCCATTCAAACCACTCCCAATTCGCCCCTGATCTCACGCCTATTTACGGGCTATGCCACTCCAGAAAAACTATAAATAGAGCTCTCATTCTACACAAAGGGGACTCAAGTGAAGAGAGAGAAGAAGAAGAGAATGAGGAGAAGGAAGAAGCTCCTCCTCGACCGCCGCCTGAAGACGTCGGAACTCTGCCGGATTTTCGGGAGAACGCCAGAATTCTGCCTAACTTCCATGGGATGTGGAAATTCTTCTCAATTTACAGCAGAGTTCCCTCCTGACGCCAAAACTCCGCCCAAGTGAAGCCTGATTTCTTCTCTGCCACCAACAGACGTCGGACTTCTACCCGACGCCGGACCTTCACTCTTCGCCAAGTTTATACCCGACGCCGGACTTCTATGGTTATCGGACTTCGCTGGACGTCTATGCGAAGATGGATTTCTTTTCATTGTTGGACTTCTACCTGACGCTGTCCTTCTGATCTTCGTCGTCGGACTACAGTCTTCCGACCTCCGTCGCCCGCCAACTACGGTTCTCCTGACTCACGTCGCCCGCCGACTACAGTCTTTCCGACCTCTGTCGCCCGCCAACTACGGTCCTCCTGACTTACGTCGCCCGTCGACTACAATCTTTTAGACCTCCGTCGCCAGCCGACTACGGTCCTCCTGACTTATGTCGCCCACCGACTACAAGCCTTCCGACCTCCGTCGCCAGCCGACTACGATCCTCTTGACTTACATCGCCCACTGACTACAGTCTTTCCGACATCCGTCGCCAGCTGACTACGGTCCTCCTGACTTATGTCGCCCGCCGACTACAGTCTTTCCGACCTCCATCGCTCGCCTACTACGGTTCTCCTGACTCACGTCGCCCGCCGACTACAGTCTTTCCCACCTCTGTCGCCCGCCGACTACAGTCCTCCCTACCAAACGAACATATCAATAGTGATTCTTTGTATTCATATCATGTAATATACTCTATAAAATGTACAACAAGCTAAGGCCTTCTCCCAAGGAAGGGCCTCATTTGTAATCGACTGCAATACTAGTAGATTCATTCAAACTGGGCTAGGCCCCGTAGTTTTTCCCCCTTTTCAGGGGTTTTCCACGTAAAAATCTTGGTGTCTCATAAATGCTTGACCCTCTCTCTTATCTGATTGAGTGCCGGATTTTCTTACAACGCTAAGACGATAAACTTTATATTTCTCTACAGCCGCGAATACTCCTGGACGCAACAATATATATATATATACACACATACACTTTTTTTTCTTTTCTTTTCTAACTCACACTCTTTTTAAAATGTTATTATATTTCTCTCTTTCATAATAAATAAACTAGCTTGTAATCTTTTTTAAACTCATAGAACTAAACCCGAACTCTTTCTCAAATTTGATTATTTAGTCAAGCTCAAATTCAAATTGGTTGCACCTTCAATGGACTTCTAAATGTCTTGCCTTAATATTATTCAATCACATCAAACCAATTGAGCAAATGAGTCACATCAAGCGTTGTGATCCCAATCCAAAACTGCACGAATTTAAGTGCAAAATAGAACCTGGCTGGAATTTTCTTGGATCCATTTCATCACTTTGCTTTTCCTAATGGGCCAAACCACTCTCACGAACCAAGAAGAAAAAAAATTAATGAAATATATTAAATAACATACAAATAAATAACGCCAAAACTTAAAATAAAAAAATGATGAAATATACTCTAACGAATTTCCACTTTTACATTTATTAGTTTTTTATTCTACTGCCAAAATACAAAATAGTGTTATGCATCATTAAATAAATAAAAATTCTTATATTTTGAATTTCATATAACTTGTATGGTCTTACTGCTAAGTTTGGATGATTATATCTTAGGAGTTCCAATATATTGTGCATTGAATGATATGACACGTCAAAATTAACCTTTGGACGCATTTGGACACCTTACTTAATAATTTCTTCTCTAGGGGTCGTACTAGTGGTACTACTATAGATTTCTGTCCTGATTTTTCTAGCCTGTAACATTATTTAATAGTGAGCGTAGCAATATTAAATGCATACACAAATCGTGTTGATAGATACTTTAAAAGTTTATAATTACTAAAATCTGATATTAGATTTTTATTAATTTATAGCTATAAAAGCAACTTCCCAGAGCCAGCCCAAGCTGCCATGAGAAAAATCCACGTGATTTCCCATCACACGTTGCCATGCAATATAATCTACCCTCTTCAGCTTCTAAACCACTCGATCCTCCGCCGCCATGTCTGAGGAAAAGAGAAACTCCGAGCTCGAATTAGTGGTCACGGTCCTCTCCGCTGAGTCCCTCAAGCTCCCCTCCTCCCTACTCCTACCTCGCCACCGCCCCCGTCCTTACGTCATCCTTTCCACCGCCTCCGCCAGCAGCAGCGGAGCCGATGTCCGACAGTGGCCGCCGCCGCCGCCGCAGATCCACGTCACGCATGTCGATGAGAAAGGCGGGAAAAATCCCACGTGGAACGACACAGTTCGCATCTCGGTGGACCCAGCTTTTTGTCTGCCTCGCCGCCGCCGCTGCAGCGGTGGCTGGGAAGAGGAGGAGGATGACAGCGCAGCTATCCACATCAGCGTGTTGTCGAAGCGGAGATTCATGGACCCCACAGAGCTGGGATGGTGTCAAATACTGCCTTGCCACGTTGTCGATGGGCTTCGGCCGCCGGGTTTGCCTCGAAGGTTGAGCTATGCGTTGCGGTCGGGCCCGCATGGTGGGCTGCAAGGGCTGATTCACTTGAGCGTGCGATTGGTTGGTTCCGTCGAACGGATAGCTCCGCCTCCGCCGCCACCATCGACGGTGGTGGCGCCACCGTCGGAAGAGGAAGGGTGGTGCCAGGTGGCGATAGGGATACCGGTGAGGACCGCATTTTCCGGTGGAAGAAGGGGGCGTGGGGTGGACGTGGGGGTTTTGGTGGACACGTGGTGCGAATGAATTGGTTTTGACTTATCGTGGAAAAATAGTGCAAGTTTGACTTGCCTTCAATAGCAGGAAAAATTATTATGGGGGGACACAGGACATCGTAGGCAAATTCGAGCACCCCATGTCATTCCTTTGCTATGTATCATTGTTTGTGTATACGTTGTGTACCAGCTGACGTGGTGCACTCTTATTCCCCTTTTAGACCGTCCAGTGTCCACACAGAATTATTTCACAGATAGCTGACGTCATTCTATTGGTTGAGAGTTTTGACTATCAATAAAGAGATATTAAATTCAACCTTATATATATGATATATGTGTGAGTTTATTTTAATTAATGTTGATATGTCATCAAAAAATTATATTGATCGGACGCGAATCTCGAGGCAAAAATAAAGTTGGAAACTTCAAAAATTAAATTTGGGATAATCTGAACTCCGATTTCAGCAAACTTATAGTCGAACTGATTGTCTCGGAAATATGAACCCAACGACACCAAATTCAGCTCAATCCGAGCCCAAATGTGTCCGAATCAAAGGCCCGAAGCACATTTAGAAGGTTCAATCTATAATTTGGATTACCAAACAGTTTTCAAATATGACATGCTTATAGTCGAATAGAGCGGCTCAACGTGACGAATCCAACGAGCCCAAGATTGCCAAATTCCGATATCATTAAGATCTTCAAATGTCTGACGAACAGTCCAAAATCAAGTTATTCAATATCAGCTATCCATCCAAACCACTCTACATTTGCCCTTGATCCTCCTCCTATTTACGAGTCATGCCATCCTAAAAAAACTATAAATTGCCCCTCATTTCTCTTGAGAGGGGACCCAAGCAAGGAGAGCAAGAAGAATAAGAAGAGAAAAGTAGGAGGGAAGAAACTCCACCTCGACCACCGCCGAAATTCTGCCCGACTTCCACGGGACGACGGGATTCTGCCTGACTTCCACGGGATGCCAGAATCCTGGCCGACTTCCACAGGACGCCGAAGTTTAGCCCAACTTTCAAGTGACGCTGAAACTCCGCCCGATCTCCAATTAACACCATAATTCTGTGAGATCTCCAAGTGACTCTGGAGTTTTGCCCGAATACCATCTAACACCGGTGTTATCCCCGGCCGCCGACTAACGTTGGACTTCTACCCTATGCCTGACCTCCGCTCATCACCAAATTTATACCCAACATCGAACTTACGCCCATTGTCAGGTTTTCGCCGTCATCTATCTGATGCGGGATTTATGTTCATATCTGACCCAATCCTTTAGACCTCCGTCGCCAGACAACGGTCTTTATGACCTCTATCGGCCGTCGACTACGGTCTTTCTGACTTCCATCTCCCACCGACTACAGTCCTTCTGACCTTTGTCGCCTGCCAACTATGGTCCTTCTTACTTTCATCGCCCACCGACTACGGTCCTTCTGACTTACGTCGCCCACCGACTACAGTCCTTCCAACCTCTATCGTCTGCCGACTTACGTTGCCCACTAACTACAATCCTACCGACCTCCGTCGCCCACCGACTACAGTCCTTTCGACTTACGTCGCCCATCAACTACGGTCCTTCTTACCAAACAAACACGTCAATATTGACACTTTGTATTACTATCTTGTATTTCATATAATGTACATCAAGCCAAGACCTTCCCCCTAAGGAAGGGCCTCAATTGTAATCGACTGCAAATAATATTGGATTCATTCAAACTGGGTTAGGCCCCATAGTTTTTCCACCTTTTCAGAGGTTTTCCGCATAATAATCTTGGTGTCTCTAGTAAATGCTACACCCTCTCTCTTTTGATCTGTGTGCGTGCAGGATTTTCGTACAACGCTAAGTCGCTAAATTTTATATTTCTCTATTGCTGCGAATACTCCAGGATGTAACAAACATAAATGTAAATTAAAAAAGAAATAGCAAAGTACCATTAGAAGAAATGGAAAGTTGAAAGATTCATGCATATTGCCTAGAGAATATGATTTTTTTAATATCATTGCCCTATATTTTATATTTTATAATTCATAATTTAACAAAATTATATTTGATTATCATTTTACCTTTTGTCATCAAAATAGTCTTAAACAATTGAGATCTTTCAAATTTTATATGATATTAATTATGATGACTATAAATATTTAAACATTTTACTATTTATTATACATTTTATTATAAATATCTTTACTAATTTTGAATTTTTGCATAATTTCGTCAAAATATCATGTGTCAATTTATTAAGCTTATTATGATTAAAAGTAGGTAAGAGATCATGATTCATGACATAATTTTCTTTTTAAAGAAATAAAAAATGGATAATTTTGCCCATTAAATTTGGCAATCCATCATTCTTACTTAGTATGATAATTGTTTACATGAATTCTTGAATAAAAGATTTAAACACATCATAAAATTTCTATGTAATTATATATTTATACTTAAAATTTGATAGTTATTTATCTAACTTTTTAATGTCTGCATCATATCAAAATGTCCAAATGAAAATGTATATTTTACCTTTAAAAAATAACTTTAGTCATATTTTTATTATTTTAAATTTTTTATGTCCTATAAATAAATATAAGAATTTCTATGCTAAATCTAGAAATACAGAACCTTCCTCAATTCATTAAACTCTTTATATATATATAAGATTCAGCTTAACAATTTGATATACTCCAACTATTAAAATGTTCAATCTTTATGGGTATTTATTTCATACAAGAATAGCCACAGTACCTTATAACGTTTTATACAAATAAAATACTAAGAAAACCACACTGAAACCCCTACCAAATTGAAAGAAACAATGCCAATGTCCATAAGCGATGCTTTGTTCTGAGTGCTGTTGAGCCATTTAGACTGCCAATCTATATTCTGAAAACTTATTTTGAGACTGCTTATATTTACAATCCTGTATTGTAGACTTAGATTCGTTTGGCACGGCTTTCTTACTGCTTTTTAAAGTAGAGACTTTAAAAAGCAGTAAGAAAGCCATGCCAAACGATGCCTTATTTGGTATGAAGTTGACAAGAATTTACAGAGCTGTTTTTATCAATTGTATGGAAATGAATCATATAAGCTTAGGATACACAAGAAATAGCCAGTGGGTCTGAAGTACGAAGCATTAGAGCGTCTGAGTTGTAAATGCACTGGCTTTGGCTTAGCTTGATCTCTTCATGTGAGTTATAGCACAATTTAACAAAAGAAATTATCCCATTTCGGCAGAGAGGGCATGGGATTGCTCCTGGAGGACCAGTAGTTTCAGATGAGCTGCTACTTGCTGAACAAAGGCAGAGTGCGCATTTTACACAGAGTTCATGCCCACAACCTGAATAACTATATGAGTCAAAGACAATTTTTGTATATATAATGGAAAGATAAAGTCATAAGATGGTGAACAATATGGAAGAAATGGAAAAGATGAGAATAAAACTGACCTTCAGCGGCTACATAGCAAGTCCTTTCTAAGCAAATAGCACAAAGATCACTTTCATCAGCTGAGGTGGATAATGAAGAATGTAGGCCGCCACATTCTCTGAAAGGAGTTTCATTTTATGAAAATTTGAGATGATTATGAGAATAAGTAAATCAACTAATCTTTACTAGCCAAATATTTGATCATTAGTTCTACAAGATTCAAAGTTGCTCCAATGAAGTGTCAGAGATAATAAAGTTTGTTTTTTTAAACAACTTTTTGTTTTCTTTGTTGTTATATTGAGCTATGTGAGCAAAATAAAGAATCGCAGAAGAGTAACATATTCAAAGCAAATGTAATGAAAATTTCTTCTAAAAGAAGTCTGTTAGACCCATCCACTGGACTGGTCTAGCCGGTCCACACGGGACCGGCTTACGGGTGAAACAGGCGGAGGTTTTCCGCCTCCTGTACGTAGGAGCCGACCGCCTAGATTTGACGGAGCCGTTTTGAAAGGATTTTTTAGGGAGTTAGAAGGGAAATTTGAATGTAGGGACTGTTTAGAGGTTTCTTTTTGAATTGTATGTATTAAATAGTTGGTTTTCCTAGGGTTAGGGCATTTTGAATTTGGCTGAAATTTGAGATCTCTTAGGTTTATGTTTCTTTTGAGCTCTAGCGGCGTCTAGGGAATCGGGAGAGATCGATCCTCCTCTCGAATTGGGATCAGTTATATCTTGTTTGATTTTCTTCGGTTAGTTAATTTTTCTCAATAAAATGGACTGTTTTTTTTTTTCCTCTACTTGTTGAGTATCCTCGCTGACTTTGTCAAGATCATTAGGTTTCACATGAGATCTCAAGTGTTACCTATCAAAGTCTTAAATATGTTGAAAATAAAGGAAAAAAAAATCATCTTTACATCATTCAAAATACAACAGAACATTGTCTATTAAATGCGTTTAATAAGCTATATACAGACTCAAAAGTTTTAAAAATCAAAATTTCTGACGATATTTTCAGAAGGGTTTCCTAAATGTCAATATTCCTTTCAACTTATTTAAATCAAGAATTTTCTCAAACACACACAAAAGAAAAAATTATTCAGTGAAAAGCAATAACCTAAAAAGTACAGCATATGGAGGAGATCAGTGATTTCTGTGAAGAAAACAAGCAGTCACCATACTTCATTTTATGAATTCAAAGTAAAAAATTAGGCATGGAAAAAGGACGAGGAATCCGAAATTATAAGGCAATGAACACTTGTGAAAGAAAGAAAAAATCAATTGAATGGGACTACAAAATTGTCTTTAGATAAGAGGAGAATAACCTCAGGGGAGTTGGACAAATCACACTATCTGCTAAAATCAAAGAGGTCATAGCAGGAAAGATTGATCACAATTATTATGCCGCATATGTTCTTAATAAATCATCCAAAAACTAGAATGGCTTCTGCAGATATCCATCTTTATATCACAACTATTACCTCACCCCAAACTGTTCATCTGTTTTTTAAGAGAAATTATTAGGTTCAGACACCGGACAAAGAGAATCATCCGGATTTTTATTTGTCTACAGTAAAAGCACAGTCAAAGCGTAAGTATTGTAGACAGAGAGAAATCCGGATGATTCTTTCTGTCTGGTGTCCGGAACTAATAATTTGCCATTTTTTAATCTCTTGAAAGACCCCTTTAGAGATATCATTGCTCAGAATAATCAAGAATGAAAGCATCAGCTGCAGTAAAAGAAAGAAGCACTAATATACAAACAGAAATCAAGGCTCTTTATGTACCTTGCTATGTTAAGAATGCTCATAAGAGGCAAAGATAAGTAGCTTGATGGAGCAAATAAAGGTAATTTCAACTCAGAATTGGGTGATAGCAATGGCACAAGGTGATGGCGTCCCCAAATCCTAGCTACATCAACAGGAAGCCAACTGAAAGAAGGAAAAACAAGAAAAAACGAACATTGAAGGAGCTTTATCTGATTCTTACTTGAAGACAAATTAAAATATTCAATTAAGTATAGCAGTAGAAGAAGATTGAAAGGGTACCCATTAGAATTCAGGGTCAATCGGCAAGCTCCTCGAGCAAGGAGGACCTGTATTAGCCGATGATTTATGTGTAAGTGCAAATGCAGCAGAGAAGATATAACATATACATGGTGAACATGAAAAGTTCTAGTTACTTTGCCTGACAACATTTAAAATTTCCTCCGAATGTCGCATAATGGAGAGGAGTGCTACCAGCTCCTGTATATGATTCAAAACTAATCATAATAAAGTCCTGAAACAACATAAAAAGCTAAAATCATACAAATCATTTGTATTTCTCTCTGCCTACAATAAAAAGCGTAGTCAAAACACAGTTAATGTAATGCACTTTTACTGTAGACAGAGAGAAATCTAAATCTGGATGATTTTCTCTGTCCGGACCTAATAATTTCACCAAAAAATGGCATACCTATGGTCCTGAAAGAGGAGCAATAATTAAAAGTTGTTGCCGACACATTTGCCTTAAAATCAAGTAACAGCTGAACACAATCAAAATGCCCTTTTACTGCTGCCATATGCAGCGCTGTCAAGCCTCCATCAGCCACCTTGTTCACCAACCTCGACAGAGCTCTGCAAGCAACCAAACAAGTCAAAAATCAGCTCAAAAAAAGTCTTCAGGCAAAATTTAACGATCAAAACCAACATACAATTGATCAAATTCAACTGTGGAAGAACATTCCGAGCTCTTGATATCCTTCAACCCTTCAACAGTCACTGAGAATGGAGCACTTGGAATAAAGTCTGCAACTACGAGCCTGATGCACCGGACATAGCCACCTGCAGCTGCAAAGTGCAACGCCGTCTGACCAGTGAAGTACGCAGCCCTCGAAACCTTTATCAGTTAAAACTCATCTCCATAAGCCAATTTGGGAATATAGAAATCAAAGCGGGAATGGCAAATACTAAATATACATACGTTGCATCTGAATAGTAGCAGAACCTGCACGACCTCCCAGTGGCCATACCGACATGCTTGCATCAATGGTGTCTACATAGTTATTCCATTAAAAAGATAAATTAAGGTAAAATTCAACTAAAAATTAAATCTTGGATCAGAAAACAACAAAAAATGGTTTTTTTTACCAGCCCAGAGTAGTTGCGGGAGTTCACATCCGCTCCCTTTTCCAGTAGAGACTCTACTATCTGATCATACCATGTTTTCTTAGTATTTGTAGAAAAGAGAAAAAAAAATGGAGGAGAAGGCTGGAGAATACGAAGGGAAGAACCTCAACGTGGCCCTTGGCGGCGGCAAAATGTAAGGGTGAGTTCTGAGCGGCGAAGGTGCAGTATCTCGCGAGGCCGGCGTTCTGCTCCAGCAGAGCCAACACCTCCGAGACATCGCCGTCCCTCGCCGCCGCCACCAACCTGTCGCCGGCACCGGCGGCAGCACAAACCAGCGAATTTCCCATCGAATAGTACAAAATCGAAGAACCTAGGTAAAGATATCTCCTTTATAATCGGAGGCCCCTCGATGTTGGCCCAAGAGCAGATTGCGACGAATACGAGTGAAAGCAAAGGCTTTGTCTTTCCCTCCACGGCAGCTCTGGCTTTCGTGTATCCGGCTTTGAGGGGTAAACTGCTCCGGTAGTGGCTACAGGGAGTGCTACATGGAACCTGGCTGCGGTTTGCCTATTGCGGTGACCGGAACGTGCGGGTAAGGGAAAATGAATGGCAGCGGCGTTGACCGGATCAACGCGCCGGCAAACATTTTATTTATTTTATATTTAAAAAAAAAATCTTCGAAGTTGCAATACTCACATAAATTATTGTTCTTTATCTCTAATCTCTATCAGATTAATGTGCTCATAATTTATTCAGCAAATTCAAAAAAGTCTTATTAAAAAATAAATTTATTAAAATAAAACAGTATAATTCGTTATTTGGATCAGCTTTGAGATTCACACTGCACAGATTTCTAAAGCAGATCTAACAGACGTTAAGCACTCCTTCTGAAGGGAGTTCTCTTTGAAATGTGTGCATATAAGGCTCCATATGGTTGAGGAAAATATATTTGCCTCAATCATATATATATATATTATTTTTAGTAGCTAATGATTTTAAGTGACAGTGAAATATTGAATTTTCGAGAAAAATTAGGACATAACAAAATGTCTGTCATGCATCGGAAAATTCATGGTAATAAATTTGTTTATGTCCTATTTTTTCACGAAGATTTAATGTATTAGGTAATTTATTAGACACTAATATTTTTATATGGAAAATTTATAAAGAGAGCAAATTTATAGAGATTTGCTTAGATGAAATAATTTACCATATAAATAAGTTAAAATAATTTGTCATTCTAATTGATTAGAAAAGAGTGAATTAGAAATTATATAAACCCTTTCTCCGAGAATGAGAAAAACTTAGATTCAGGTTAAGAGAAGAGCCTCACAAGGGAGAATTCATTGAGAAGATGAAGAGAAATGTTTGCACTGGTCAGGCCAGAAATGCCCCAAGGTAAGGAAGGATATAGAAGATCCACATAAAAAAGGTTGACAAATCAATGATTTGTTATTAAAAATTTACTTTCCTATTTAATAAAAGCCCATATGTACTAAAGCAGATAGGAAAAATCTGATAGGTTAATGTTTAAAACAGCAAGACTAAACATCACATTTAAATCTAAATGATTATAAAGATGGATATGCAAGTTATTATGAATTTTATATGAATTAAAAATACATATGTGCAGGAAAAACAACATAATTGTGCACATCAACAAAATCTCAAGCAAATAAGCCCACGCTCCGACCTTTGAAAAACTCTTTGTTGTCAACTTCATTGAGAAAATTTTATACTAACCAAAAGAAACTTGATAATCATAATCACAAGGAAGATTTCAAAAACACCACTGAACATTTTGAATCTATTATCCTAACCATAAAACCTCAAAGTCTCATCATTGTCTAATATCAAGTAATAAACTGATCAAGCTAGTCTTAATGGAGTTGAAACATTGGGTACGTTTGGTAGAGGAAACATCACAGACACGTTGAGGCTACCATTATTGAAAGCCTAATAGGCTCTCATCCATTTTTAGATTTAGAAGAGTCAATATCATGAATTATTTCACATAGTAAGGCTAGAGAGAAATAATACAAATAAATAAAAGCAAATGCACGATCTATCACATGCAATAATGAGGAACATCAAACACATTATGGTGCTCTTCGATGAGGCATTGGCCATCGGCCTCTGCCTTTCCTATGATGTCTGCCAAAGCGCAAGGTGTCGGTGAATGAAATTGTCATTAAATGCAATATTCAACTATTGAAGTAGCAATTACTAAGTGGCGACGATGGTAGACATTCCTAGGAAGATAAGGCTAGCAGAGAAGCACCAACAGGATTAGGGTACGTAAGACAGGGATAGAAGCAGGCCACACCAAAGAATTAAGCATGATTACAATAAAAAGAACCAAGCCTATTCTTTTTTGAGATGTTTGGCTACAAAGATTTAGCTTGATTTAGCCTAAATTCTAGCTAAATCACCTCAAACAATTTGACTGAATCATACAAGTCTTTATCTTTGTAAACTCATATTTATGTTAATTTAAGCAAAAATTAACCTTTTCAATAGAATTAACTAAGCAAAAAAGAAAAAAAAAAAAACAGAAGTCTGGCCTAAAGTAATAAGTCATATAATCTATATTGTTATTATAATTTAATCTATAGTTTGGATTAAAGATTTATGAATGAACGGTAGCTGCACTTCTCATCATGCCTACCAATCAGTGTACAATGACATTATTTCAGTAAAAAACAATAAAAAATCTATGCATTATTTCTATTATTCACAAACCAACATAAAAAGAATGGAATGAGTTCCGTTCATATTTTTTCACTTAAATTATTTCTCAAGCGGAGGGAAAACATGCTGAGGGAGACATGGTGATTATTGTCCCCGCAACCATGTCAGGAAACACACGATGCAGCGAATCACCCATCAGATCGGTGATACGTAGATTTGTCATAGGGAGTTTGGGCTGTTCGCGGTTGTTAAAGATGCAGCGGATTAGGTTACCGTTCTTAGCAGTTGGGGAACCCTAACGGTAACAAGGGTCGCATGCGGAGCACGTGCGAGAGAGAGAAGAGGAAGAATGGACGGGAAGCTTCGTAGACCCGGGTACCGCCTGCGATCCGTTCACCACCTTGTCGTTAACGGTGAAGTTGACACGAGCTTCCAACGGTCACTTGCAAGGGTTTCTCCGCCGCATGATTCTGATCAGACGGCGAACACGCAGCTGCCGGACGCTACGGCGGGAGCTTTTTTTTTGGTTTTGCGGCATTTTTCCCATGGAAAGAACGGAGGAGCAGAGAATAAGGAAGGATGGAAGCAGAGGAGGAAGAAGAACTGATAAAACCTCTCCTTCTCCCTTCACATTTCCAATTTTTTACTTCTCTGTTTTGACGTAGATAGAGAAGGAAATCGAGCTTCTAAGCTCCAAACTTGCTGGATAAAAAAAATTGATTTTGTTCCTTACTTTCTCTTTTCATTCCATTCATGTTCATAGGTAGCAGAGACTGCAGATGCTGAATGAGCTTGTTCAAGAGATCCTCGGATATATTGACAAGAGAATCCAAGCAAGCAGCTTGCGTGCGTTTACAGCTGAAGAAATGCTTCATTTCAAGGTAGTTATTTCTTTTTTTATATCATATTTTGTTTATATAGATCTCTACCATAAAAACAAACAAATGCATGTATAGAGAGAGAAGAAGGGAATATGAGGTTTGAGATTTATTTGATTGTAGTGGTACAAAAGTTCATGTAGTTAGAGTGTTCATCCCTGAAGTATATAGATGATGTTGTTGAGTTCAAAGGGTTACAAAGCAATCCACATAGTATTCCTTTTAATTCATAATGAAACACAATAGAAGGAATGGAAGCAAAGAAGATTTAGCAATTATTCGGTATGTAATGTTATGTTAATAATAGATGTCTAAAACTATTTGATTTACTAATCTTTTTAAATAGCTATTTTATAAATGATATTTAACTCATATTTTAATAGCATTTAAATATGATTTTTTTTAAGGCTAACAAAAAATACATAATAAAATCATTTTTATTGATTTTATAATATTATTTTATGTATGTAATATAACATTTAACTAAATAACAACATTTGGTAAATAGCGTTATTATTTAGATAATATTGTTATGCGTATAATATCAATATCTATAAAACAATTCGAAACGAAAAAAAGGCCCCTGGATCATCATCTATTATGGAGTATGAAGTAAAAGAGAATTGAAGTTCAATTTCATACAACCTGTGTAAAACATATTTTTAATTCAAAATTTTAAATTTATATGTTAGGGCTTAGTATTTTGAATTTATACGTAAATATACGCATTTCAACTATTTTATGTAGGGTTAAACTCAATATTTTCACTTGTCTTATTAATCTATCGATCATTTGAGAGCTCTTCCTCGTACTCAACACTCTTCTTTAATAAATATATTTTGATGTCATCATAAATCATGCATCAAGAATTCCCCAAATTGTGTATGTTTGGGAGCCCCCATGGCTTATAAATATTGATCATCTATTATAAACAAAGTTAATATATGTAATCCATATGAACTACTAGATTTGAGAAGTTTACTCTAATACAACTTGTTAAGCAATATGAATAAAAAGGGGAGATAAAAGTTAGGCCAAATACAAAAATCCTGATCAATAGTCCTATTGTGATTATTTCTAACTATTTAGGATCAATTTTTATTCATTCATACTGATTGCTGCAATAAGATTTGACAGAACGACATGTTAAAAGAAGAGATTGATTGCGTTAAAGAATTATAAATATTGTCGCTTTGCATTCTCTCCACATTGCTTCAGCTCTAGCGATCAATGGAGATGCTCGACGCCTATGCTCAGTTGCAAACTCTTAATTTCCAACGTAAGCGAAGCTTTATCCCTCATAAAGGAGAATTATTCATTCTTTCAAGCAATAATTAACAGTTAAAATATTCTTAATATATTGTAGGCCAAGCAGCCACATAGGTGCAACAATGGAGTGAGATCACTGAACCTTATTGGCTTCCTCAAGTTGTGAAGCCCTTCTAATGCTTCAAAGTTTTCTTCTAAACTGCAAAGGATTCTGACAAAATTGAAGTGCCTAATGCCAAGAATGAGCCTCATAATGAATCCTCCGAGAGCAGATTATTGCGTGAGATTATTGGGCTAAGTAGCCAGCAAGAAAATACCCAAACGGAGGACCAGAGCCTTGAGCTTGTGAGCTTCCTCACACATTGCACAGAAGCAATCATCACAGGTGATCATGCATCTATAAACTACTTCCTATCTAGACTTGGAGAAATGGCCTCTCCGACTGGAAGTACAGTTCATCGACTTGCAGCTTATTTCACTGAAGGTTTGGCCTTATCTGCAGTAAAGCTATGGCCTCATATTTTTTCCATCAATCCGCCAAGAGATGTCGTAGAGCCGATTGACGACGACGAAGCCACGGCTCTTAGACTCCTCGACCAAGCCACCCCTATTCCCAAATTCATCCATTTTACTCTAAATGAAAGATTGATGAGAGCTTTTGAAGGGAAGGATAAAGTTCACATCATTGATTTGGACATCAAGCAAGGACTGCAATGGCCAAGTTTGTTTCAGAGCTTAGCTTCCAGACCCAATCCACCAATACATGTAAGGGTCACAGGGATTGGAGAATCAAAGCCTGAGCTACAGAACACAGGTGCAAGGCTTGCAGCTCTTGCAGAATCTTTGAAACTTCCTTTCCAGTTTCATGCTGTCGTCGACCAGTTAGAGGATGTCAGGCTTTGGATGCTTCATGTGAAGGAGGGAGAATGCTTGGCTGTAAATTGTGTTCTTCAGCTGCACAAAACCCTCTATGATGACACTGGAAGTTCTCTAAGGGATCTAATGTGTGTGATTGGGAGCACGAATCCTGCAATAGTGCTCGTTGCAGAAGAAGAAGCTGATCACAATCACCATCAACTGCAGTTGAGGTTTGCAAACTCTTTGAAATACTATGCCGCCATCTTCGATGCCTTGAATGTTAGTCTGCCGGAGGATAGCTCGGAGAGAGCTAAGATTGAGAAGATGTTTGCGAGAAAGATCAGGAATATCATTGCTCGGGAAGGAACTGAGAGACATGAGAGTTTCAGCCAATGGAGTAGGAAGATGAAGGATTGCAGATTTAAAAATGTCGGCATTGGAGATAGGGAAAAAGTTCAGAGCCAGGTGATATTGAGGATGTATTCAGATTCTAGCTATTCTGTGGAGAAGATAGAAGAAGATGGAGAAGCACTTTGTCTAAAGTGGCAAGAACAACCACTTTATACTGTCTCTGCTTGGGCTCCCATGGATATTGCTGGAAGCTCAACTGCAGCTCAGCCAGATTGATTGGAGTTCTCAAACTAATATGGTTTGATCTAGTTTCATTTCCTTCTCAAGCTTCTGCTTGGATTCTTTTGCTCCTCTGATGGAGAGATTTCTTACCGGGAGGAAGTTGAGATTTCTTTCTTCCTTTCCAATACTTATTTTATTCTTTGAGGATCACATGCAGGAGGCAACGAAAGGCAGTGGAATAAGATTGATATCATTCTTTGATTAATTTGTTAAGAGAACATGTAACTCATTTTATGTTAATATGCCCTTTTCTTACCCATAAGTGTAGTTATTCAACAACTTTGCATTGAATGCTGAAGCTATGAGAAGCTTGTTTCTCATGTTTCAGATCACTGAATGCGATATCTGTAGTGTTAAAAACCTGATGGAAAGAATTCAAGTTAACTTGAGATTTTTTTTTTATTGGCATATTTTTTTGGATATATATTATTAGATTGCTGAGTTTTGATTTGAGCATCTAGGGAACTTGATAAATTAAAAATTATTTTGATCGCATTCCAAAACAAAAGCATACTGTATAATAATGTTGCTTTTAATTTTTATTTTTTCAACATTCTTAATTTTCTCTCTTCTCTTAATATCAAAATAATAACCCTATTATATTATTTGCCTTTTAGATTTCACTCACTATTTTTTTTTTTTAATTTCAGCCAATGATATTGAGTTTCTAACCATTGTTTCCTTATTCAAGTAGTCTTGTAACGCTTGTGGTATAACGTATGTGTAGCTGAAATGAGCAGAGGAGGAGAACAGAATGGAGAAATCAGTAGATTTGAGGGAGCAAGGGAAACAGACATACACTACTACCAAAGGATAAATCTCAACCATTAATTCATAACAAACCTGATACATCATACACGTACACGTGTAAAAACACATGCTCACTTTACTTATATAAAGCTGCTCTAGTCTCATCTTTCACATCTGTAATAAACAAATCGTTAAGGGATCAGAGCAGGGATGAAAAGTTTGTCTACGCAGCAATGGCTCAATCTTCATCATCTCAGATTGGCAATCCGTCCGTTGAGACCTCCACTGAAAGCTGCAACATCCCAGCATCTCTCAAATTTGTTATCTCTAACATCAAAATCATTGTTCCTACCCAGCTTTCAAATGACGAGCGAATGGGCTAGCTCTCTTGAATCTACGGCAGCTCCACCACCTCGCTTATCTCAGTTAGCTGATGGCACCACCACAGTCAACCCCAAATATATTGAGTGGGTTCTCATTGATCAGAACCTAACTGCAGCGATCTATTCCACCCTTACCTCCTCTGTTCTTCCTATGTTCTACATTTGGAATCCTACTCATCCATCTGGATCACGCTTGAATGCAGACTACAAGCTTCCAACAAATCTAGAGTCATTCAACTCAAGAGTAAACTCCACAACCTATCCATAAAAAACCTCATTATGACCCAATAACTCACCGAAATCAAAAACTTAGTTGACAACATAGCAACAACATGCTCAAATGTCGATCCAGAGGACATCATCCTGTATACCCTTAACGGTCTTCCTCCCTCCTACCAAGCTTTCAAAAACCTCGATTCGCACTATGTTGCACCCCATAAAAGTGGATGATCTTTACTCTTTGCTCCTAAGTAAGGAAATCAATTTACAAGCTGAATCCTCCCGTCATCAGTCCCTACGATAGCACTCTACTCTTCTCGCGGTCGTGGACGCAGTGGCCGCATCAGGTTCTCATCCCCCCTCACCAAGCATATACCCTCCTCCGTCTTACCCACATGTCAGATTTGCAACAAGTGGGGTCACTCTGCCATCATCTGCTGGCACCGTCTCAACATGAACTACACACCAAACGTATCTCCTATGCAATCCAAAACTATGGTCGCAGCTACCAACCTCCCGAATCCTGATTGGTACCTTGACTCTAGAGCATCATCACATCTTACCCACTCACTCAACAACCTCTCCTACCCAACACCCTACCAAGGCTTAGATAACATTACAATCGGAGATGGCCGCTCATTTTTCATTGCTCACACCAGTGTTGGCATCATTCCCACGCCCTCACTGTAAGCTACTTCTCCCTCAACTTCTACATATTCCCAATCTCTCCCCCAACCTTATTCCATCTCCCATCTAACTCGAGATAATAATGTCTATCTCATTTGAACCCACTGGTTTTGTCATCAAGGTCTCGAAGACCAACCAAGTTCTTCTCAAGTGTTGGGTCCCTATCGTAATGGACTATACCCCATTCAACCAACTCCATCCCCAAACCGTCCATCAGCCCTCTCTGCAACCCGAAGCACTTCATCTCTCTGGCAAAACCGACTCGACCACCCTCATCAATAAACTCTTGCTACCATCTCCAACTACAACAAGGAGCTTCACATACCTGTCTTTTTCTTTTTGTTCATCATGTAAGGTCTCCAAAGGTCATAAACTAGTGTTTCAAAAGTCACTTCATCGCATTTCTACCCCGCTTGCACATATTCACTCAGATGTATGGGGTCCTTCCCCTATTGCTTCTAATCAAGGTTATAGATACTATGTTTCCTTCATCGATGATTTTTTGCAATTTGTCTGGGTGTTTCCAATTACTTATAAATTTGAAGTGTGCTCCATTTTTATTAAGTTTAAAACACTTATTGAAAATCAGCTATATCATAAAATCAAATGCCTACGCTTTGACGGCGACAAAGGATATCTCAACCAAGCACTTCAATCCTTCCTTCAACACAATGACATCCTGCACAAAATTTCATGCCTGTACACTCATTAGTAAAATGGATTGGCGGAGAGCAAACATCATCACCTCACTGAAACCACCTGTACTCTCCTCCATACGTGTTATACTCCATGATATATATTTGAATAATTACATTTGTTCATATTTAAGTTATTACAATACATCCTATCTTCCATATACCTACTGACCCAATGTCGTTCCCCATCCTACCTAATCAACCGTCTTCCCTCTGAATCCACCCATCATAAATCTACACTACAACTACTCTACAAATAATAACCTAAATATTATTTTCTTTGTATATTTGGTTGTGCTTGCTTTCCATAGCTTCCTCATGCTGACCGCCACAAACTCACCCCACAATTTATTCCCTGTCTTCATCGGTTACTCAGACACCTCCAAAGGTTACAAGTGATTAGACCCAACCAGTAATCAAATTATCATATCTCGTCATGTTATGTTTGATAAGACCACCTTCCCCTTTTAAACCAAGCCACCACATCCTCAACCATCTAACCAACCTTCCTCCATCCCTTTTCTTCTCACTCCCAACTCCCACTCCTCCTTACAACCCCTAGCTCCACCTACAGTTCATACACCTCTGTAACCTTTCCACCCGTCTCTCTCTCCAACCTTTACGACAACAAGTCCATCTCCACCCTCTACCTCAATTCCTACTTCTCATAAACCACCACCTCAACCTCCATTACCTACATTACCTTCCTCCCATCCAATGATAACCTGCCTGAAAAATTGGTTCTCTCAAGCCGCGCACACTTCTCAATCTCCTCCATCAACAAAACATCCCCACGCCTTCCAACCAAGCCAATCCAACCACCTACTGAGAAGCCGCCAAGTCCCCTCACTGGCGTCAAGCCATGGCCATTGAATTTCTTGTTAGGCCATCACTATGTGTTGGAAAGTAAACCACGCAACAAAACAAACAATAAAAGAGAACAACGAAATGAACACCAAGATTTAACCCACTCTCTATCTCAAGAACAAATCGCAATGGAGCAACCTTGGCTCAGGAGAGTTGCAGTGCTCTTCTCTATCTCCAAGTCGATACTACAGTGTTATCGCGCTGCATCCTATGACATCGTAGCGCACAAATGTACAACGCTAAAATATATAGCATCGCAGCGCTAAATGCTTGTACGGGGGAAAAATTTTTCAGGAGCAAGAACCTCGAATGCCAAGCAGGCGGAGACCCCACTGCAACCCCCGATAAACTTGGCCAACATTATTAAAATAAGTCAATAAAACAATCTGCTTTATCGACAAAATCAAATTCCACACATAACTAATACTATTTATTTCTTGAATCAACTATTCATGGGGGAAGCATTCAGGATGCACATTTGATTTCCCTTGAAAAATAACTTGGTGGGTAGTCCCTGATTAATGATTTGGATGAGCACCTCGCCCAAAGTTTAGAAAAGTTGATCTAATGCATATTGATCTTTGACACCCTCAAAACCTAAGACGAAGAGCTACATTGTAGTTAAAAGACTGAATTGATAGCTTAAAGCAGTGGCAACTTTGCTAAACTTTACACTCTTATGCATGAGCATGAAACTAAACTTTTAGAGGAACATCACCCATGGGATATGCATGTAGTTCTGGTTTTTTTTACTGTAAAATTTGAGTGATTTGTGGTTGTTATAGAGAACAAAATCTTGGTGGAACAAATAATGTTACCATTGTTTGAGGGCTTGGACTATGACATATAATTCCTATTCATATATCGCTATTTGTTATGCCCGAACCAAATCGAACCGGACTGAGAGAATGGATGGTTGAACGTTCCCTTCATGTTCATGAGCTCGCCTCTTTCGCACTCGAGCGACCCGAGCGCCTCCTAGCTATAGTTTCCCTTTCTCCAATCGTGCAGATCACATGATTTATCTACCTTTTGAAATCCTCCCTCCCCTACCGACCTCCCTCTCTCCAATTAACCCAATAGGCAGCTTAGGGCATCATTTTTACTTCTCTTTTCTCAGTTACAGCAGTCGTCAAACTCTCATTCCTCTTCCTTTTTTGTTTCTTCCTCGAAATAGCAGCTCTGTTTCTTCCTCGAAATAGCAGCTCTCAATGAAATCTTTTCAAGCTCCTCTCCTTGTACAATGAGTTTTTCTTTTCCTTTCCTCTTTCTCTCCCTCTTTCTCCTTCTTATGTTTCTAATAATCTATGTAAGAGTTATTTCAATTTCTATTGCGAGACTAAATTTGATTTGTATTATATTTCTCATAGCCTTAAATTTCTCATAAGAGTTTTGTATTACTTTGGAGATAAAATTTTATCTAAGTTTGATGTTCTACTTTATCAAACCAGATTATATTTTTTAGATCGTATTATTTCATAATTAATTTTGGTGTTTATGGTGTGGCTAAAGTTGATTAGGATATTCATCATTATGCCTCAATGAACGTGCTTAATATTAGATTGTTTTCGATACTTGTAGAATTATTACTTGGTGGAGTTGACTGAAACACTATCGAGGTTGGAGTTTGTAGCAGACACAGTAAGTAACTACTATATATTATTGAATAAACGTAAACTTATTTGTTAAGGTAAAAATAAGTGTTAATTGTATCAGGCTATTTGGATTATTGAATTAGGTCGTCAATCCTATCATTATTTATAAAGTTTATTGATTAATTTCCAACGCTTGTAAATATCTTTTCATTCTCATAATGAATTAGAAATCTTCATAAGTAGATTGTTTTTGATTTATTACTGTATAAACTCTTATACATTATTTTCATGCACATATTTTTATTTGAATACAATAAATGTTATATTAGCAAAGCATATCCATTTATGAAATAACCTTTTTTCATATTGAAATTATGAAGCCTATCAAAAAGTGTTTATGAAAATTATATGCTTGGGTGCATTGATGTGTATGTCGGTAGAAACCTATTGATTATTGGCTAGTCGGGATCGACAGGGCCCTAGAGTGACGACTCCATAGTAAGTCACTGGATTTTTTTGGGTTGGTGTTTACCTTCCTGGTAATGGGTATATGATAAACCGATTATATTTATATACTTATGAATGATTGAATATGTAATTGGATTTGAATTAAAAAAAGAAACGACTTACCGGTCTTTGTGAGATACAAGGATACCTAATGTGGTGTATTTGTAAACATTGAAGTAATTTGACATCAATAACTAATTGGCATATATACCTACGTATTAGAATATAATTTTCTTCCATTTTAATAGGGTCTAATACTGCCATCTCTATATTGAGTGACACAATTAAGTTTTTGATCCAAACAAAAAGGGAAATCCTTTTAGCTTAGAACTACTAAATTAAGGTTTAGTCTGAACAGTTTTTTTAGTAGTTCTATGTACCAGATCATAATTCTTTGACCGTTTTCAAAAAATTTTATGATGAGTGCTGTAAATCTGTGATGGCTATAAAAAAGCTGATATTTTTAAAAGAAAAAAAATTATAAAATCTGCAATAATTTTGCAACTAATTTTACAACTCATGGCAATAATGCACACCACCTAATTAGAACCAACATGATGGAGTTGTAAGATAATAGATCATACCTCTATTCCATCCCAACCAAATCAAACTAAGAAATCAACCAACCATCATTTCTCTTAATATACCCCTCTATATAAATACCTCATCCTCCATCAGAACCCTACTCCCAAATTTCATCATACTGTCTGTTACATTATAATCTCCCCAACTCACCCAGAATGTCGAAGGAAGCAAATAATAGCTTCTCTGGATGCTTGAACGGCGATTTCAAGGAAGCCGGAGCAGTACCAACGGTGTCTGCCGGCAGCATAAGTGATCCAGCTAGTCAGCGCAGAAAAGCAGTAATCTTGGCTCTTGGCAAGGCCTTGCCTGACCAGCTTCTTCTCCAGGAGAGCCTAGTTGAAAACTATTTCCGCGAGACCAACTGTGATGATCCGGTTATGAGAGAGAAGCTTGAGCGTTTATGTAGTAACTAACCCATAATGCTCTTCGCAATCATAATTATTGGCAATCTAATTTTCAATTTTTGACGATGATCGATTACGCAGGTAAGAACACGACGGTGAAGAGACGATACACCGTCCTCTCCCACGACCTCCTCCAAAAGTATCCGGAGCTAACAACCCAAGTATCTCCGACCATCCGCCAGCGCCTCGACATCTGCAACGCCGCCGTCACCGACCTCGCCCACAAAGCCGCTATGTCCTGCCTCGGAGACTGGGGCCGCCCCGCAGCCAATATAACCCACCTCGTCTACGTCTCATCCAGCGAGCTCCGACTTCCCGGCGGTGACCTCCACCTCGCCTCCCGGCTCTCCCTCCGCCCCGATGTCGCCCGGGTCCCCCTCTACTTCCTCGGCTGCTACGGCGGCGTCGCGGCCCTCCGCGTCGCCAAGGATCTCGCCGAAAACAACCCCGGAAGCCGCGTACTCGTCGTCACCTCCGAGACCACCGCGATCGGTTACCGCCCACCGAGTCGCGACCGGCCTTACGATCTCGTGGGAGCCGCCTTGTTTGGCGATGGCGCGGCGGCGGCGGTGGTGGGAGCGGAGATGGAGCCGGGGGAGGAAAAGGCCGCGTTTTTGGAGATGGAGGTGGCAGTGCAGGAGTTTTTGGAGGGAACAGCGGGGGTTGTTGACGGGAAGATGGGGGAGCAAGGAGTGAGCTTTAAGTTGGGGAGGGATTTGCCGGAGGTTATCGAGGGGAGGGTTGAGAAATTTTGTCGGCGGTTGATACAAGGGATGGAAAGGGAAGGCGGTGATGGTTTTAATGATTTGTTCTGGGCAGTTCATCCCGGCGGGCCGGCGATACTGAATCGGGTCGAGGAGAAGCTAGGACTTTGGCCTGAGAAGCTAAGGTGCAGCTGGAGAGCACTGAGTGATTATGGGAATGCGAGCAGTAATACTGTCTTTTATGTGTTGGATTATATGAGGGAGGAGATGAGGAGGAAGAAGAACGGAGGGGAAAGAGGAGAGGAATGGGGACTAGTGCTGGCTTTTGGGCCTGGAGTTACATTCGAGGGCATTTTGGTGCGCAGTCTTATATAGAATCAAGTGAGTTGAAGAGGCCGCCGCCATGGATGAATCTTTTAGAGCTTAATTTAACTGATTAGAAGAATTAAATGCAGTATTAGCATAAGCTTAGCTTTGCAATAAGTTATAACTCATTCGTTGGAATAGTATCCATATGCCAATTACTTTTATATAAGAAAAATGTAATACGGGGAGAATGAAAATTGGACGTTTATGAGTTATGTAATAAATTTTTAATAAATAATCAATTATTTCTCTTTTCTTTTATCTAAATTATTTAAATTTTTAATAATATTTAAATAGAAAATAATTGTTTGAATTACATGTTAATAATTGTGGGTGCAAGAAATTATACATTTCTCATGTTAGCGTTGCACAAAATTTTACACATAAAGATAAATGATTAACATAAGAAACATAGGTGTTTTAAAGTGAAAAATTCAAGAGAGAAAAATCAAGGTGCCATACGCCGACTTGAAATGATTACATTATATAAGCGTAAGTTAACAAAAATTTACATGTCTCATAAATTAAAGAAAGAAAAATTACACAAGTATGGATTGCCTACTTAGCCTCCTCTAAGAGCAATATAAAAGAATAAAGAGGTGTTGCATGATAAAGAGTGTGCAAACTACTGTGATCGATGATAGTGATCTGATAGTAGTGGTCAGTTGATAGTGATTTGACAACTAAAGTCAGGTGACGACAATCTAATGATGGTGATTGGGCAAGTGGCAATCAAATGATGGCAAAAATTCTACAACTATAGTTGGGAGACAACGATTTAATGTCTATGATCGAGCATCAATTGTTCAATAACAATGGTCAGGTAGAGCTCTATGAGTCTTTAAACATCTAAACACTATTTTTTTAAATTTTTTTAATAAATTTTATTCAAAAAGGCATAAAAGATACAACAAAGTCAAAGACAGGCAAGCCACAGAACCTAGGCAGCCAAAACAGGAAAAGAAAAACAATAGAAAAGGGGACACATAAACAAGGAGAAAAAGTTTCAACGGCTATCAGGCTCAACAAAGGCACAGAATTCAAACCACTCCAAACCCGGGCATGGACCATCCAGAGGAGTGAAAGAGCAAGGACCACCAAAAGCCAACCAACCGCCATCTCCACTAAGAACAATCACCACCTAAGATTGCCAACAGCCACGAATTGGAACGATGAGCCCGAGCCACACCATTGCCCGAAAACCGCTAGCTAAAGTCGCAAGGCCAACAAAAGTTTGAACCCAAAAAGGCATCAAAAATCCGAGAAAAGGGGAGAACACAGCTGCAGCGCACCAATTATTTCTGATCGCGTTTACCCCTACCACGAGAAGCAACATAAACAACAGGATGGTCCTTATGCGTATCAAACTTAACAGCAGGTTCATCCTCCCCAGAATCCTCCGAAGAGGAGTCAGACGAGCATTGAAGTCAATCAAGTTGCAACCTAACCGCCTCCCCCGAATTGGCATCCATCATATCAACCAACGCCTTAGGAGATAACAACTTAAATGGGACATCAACAAAACTACCGGCAACATGGGATAGAGGCGTAGCAGGGGAACCAACACGGGCAGCACCACCCGCAAACACATCCAGTCGGTCAGGACAAAGAGCAATAGGAAAGCGAGATGCATCCAAGAATCCCACAGCCACGTCAAGCCCAGCATGCATAGGCAAAAAGGATGGGGCAGACACAGCACCCAAATATGATAAAACAGGACTGGAATTAATAGCACAAGCCACATGACCATCGTCACTAGAGCAAACTCGAGAAACCTGAGCAAAAGGCAAAACCTCACCTACCACACCTTTAGAAACAACCATATTAGAAACAACAGCCCCATCAACAACAACATCCAAACCGACCACAGGTAAAGGGCCAATGTCACCAACAACAACCAAATTATCCCCAGACTCAACGTTCAAATTGGGATTAGGATTAACGACAGAAACAACCACATGAGCATTACCAGCAACCTCCATATGAGGCAAAACAGTATCACATTAGGCAAATGTGCCACAGGTAGCACACAAAGAGCAGAAGCAGAAAAGAGGGGATTTAACATAAATATACTGAACATCCTTAGAGGGAGAAGAAGAAATAACTGGTTCCAGAATAACCAAATACTTTGGAGGAACCTTGCATGAAGCTGGAATATCAGCCGTAGTACGACAATTACCAGGAGAATGCCCAAGTTTCTTACAAGAAGAACAAAAATGAGGGAAATCCTCAAAATCCACTTGTTAGACATAACCAGATTTCTGATGGCCTAACCAGACCTTATCGAGGTAAGATTTAGTAACGTCCAACTCAACCAAGACACGAGCTAAGGATGGCCTGGAACCAATGGAGGTAGAGGTATCAATTTTAAGAGGTTTTCCAAAGTTCAAACCAAGCCTATGAAGAATGCGGGGAGAGAAGAGATGAGGACGCAACTGAGAGAAAGAAACTCAAATGCGGACAATCGGCGACTCGACTCCGATATCCATAAGAGGTGACCACTTTGAAAGCTTAATGTAACAATTATAGACTAAGTATGATCCATGGCAAAATACCCGACAATAATCAAGGTCGTTTTTTAGCTTGATGAGAATATGCGTCGGGTCCAGCAGAGTTACAGAAAATTCTCCATTCAATTTCAGATTAAAGAAGAAACGTCGGATTGAGTCCAAAGAAGGCCGTTTAGAGGGGAAAAAACCTACTAGAGAAAATTGGAACGGCGCAGCTAAAACAGTGATTCCTGATTTTGAAATACAAAGAGAATGTAAACCGCGAAAATACGACACCCTCAGTTGGGGGAAATTAGATACATAAGACGATCCCGCAAGGGCATCTAAAAACGAACGAGAGAAAGAAGCATGCTCTAAAAATCCAGGGTCGTAAAGCTTCAGAGGCATGCCGGGAAACGTCAGAAAAAGTCACAGACCAAAACAACAAAATCTAGGTCCAAAGCACAACTAGAGAGAGAGAAAAATTGCCCTGAAGGAACGAAGGAGCCAGCACGCCAAGAGATCCCAGCCAAGGAGGACGCCGGAGAAGCTAGTGCAAAGCCCTAGCAGAGCGGGGGGAGCGAGTAAGAGGAGAATGTTGAAACATCTAAACACTATATGATCTTAAGTTAAGATCTCTTTCATGTAAAAAATTTGATCTATTTATAATCTTTTTGAGCATCAATATGATAAATCTAACAAAAATCTCATAACACTATCAAATGCCCCCATAGTGAATCCCCTTGATCATATGATATTTTTTGAACGATAGAGTGCACATTAATGATGTCAATTTTGGGTATCTTAAGCTCAATAAATTCATCTCATCAAGATGCACGTATAGCTGTTATATTCGAAAATCATCATGTCCTCTAATTATTGTTACAAACTTTTTAACTACGATTAAAGTATTTGATTTAAGATCATTTGGATTCATGTGAAATTGCTATAAGTGTCAATGAATTTATCTCATCGAGACATTCAGTTAAATTAAAAATTTATTGAAATCAAAATTTGATATTGAATATAATTTTAAAAATTTTCAAATATTACCCTAAACCCTAAACATAATAAAACTATCATCAAGTCTACAACAATCTAACACTAACAAAAAGCTTTTTTGCCAGACCTACCTGTAGATTCTGCTTCTTCAAACCAGCTGAAGGAAAAGAGGAAAAAAAAAAGAATAAATGGTTATTCAATAACAAGGATGACCAAGCAAACAACACCACACCTTCAAATAAAAACCAGCAAATTTAATTGTGTACAAAAAAGACGGTTTACAGCTTATTTATACTGGATAAAATCTAAGTAATGTCTTGCAGCACTGTGATACAAACCTATCAGAAAGTTTAGGAGAATAAGATTTCGTTTGGGACGGCTTTTTTATTACTTCTCTACGTAGTTTTTTAGTAAAAAATTAAAAGTTTTATTCTAAAAAGCTACTTTAAAAAACAGTAAAAAAGCCGTCTCAAACGAACCCTAAAACAGCATTATCAAGCACTGGATGTCATGCTGCGTTTCAATATGACAATAATGAAAACCAGAACAGAGAGCATAAAGGCGTACTTCACCAACTCACTGGCAATTTCCGTAGTAAATTCACTCATATGTTGATCGAAGAGTTTGTTCACAAGACTGATGATGTCGTCTATAAACTTCATCACTACTGCTTTGGCAATCCTACAAAGGAAACTTAAAATTTGTGCAAAAAGGTTAGGGGCTGCATCTGACCATTGTGCCTGACTTGAGGGAGGGGGGAGTTCCACATGTTTTAAATACTTTTCTGCAAATATGAACAGTGAAATAGCAATCAGAAATCAAGACAATTAGTAAACATCGGAGTCATGGTAGAACTATGGATCAAGACACTATTGGATGCGAATTAATATATGGGAGACACCAGAATCTAACTGATAAGCATGGTTTGAGCCTAAAGAGAGAAAGATAGATAGATAGATAGAGAGAGAGAATCTAATTAAATTTCAGTATAAAAAAAGTACATGAGTGATTTAACTTCTATATGTATTAAACACATCCTTGGATCCCTATTTATCATAACAAGGATGACCACGTTGATTTTAATTAGAATCTGCTGCTGCCTTGCCGAGGAAGGTCTTCCGGGGGGGTCAGAGAAGGTCTTTTGGGGGCACTTTTATTTGTCGAATTTGTAACGAAACTTCTTCTGATCGAGATAAGTAACCTGAATCTCACTCCTATTTTTAATAATATTAATTTCATGAATTTTATCTCTCCTAAATCTACTAAAATATCCCAATTTTAAGATTTAAGTAACTTTCACCATGTAGTTTCTTATATGTTGTAAATATAGACTTCCTAAGCCTTATTCATATGATCATGTTGGAATTTCACTAGTTAGAATAAAGAACCTAATTATTTATGTGAAATGTATAATGATCTAACACGAATAAAGGAATAGAAAGTCATCTCTGTTGATATATATGACATGCACGAGATTTGGGATTTTTTTTTTACATGCAAATATACTTGTGATAATGCATTCATTTGCATCATTCATCTATGTCACAATTATTATGAAAATAAAATTTGGAATGTGTATGAGCAAAACTAGACTGATTGGGCATTAATTGGGATAAGATACCCAAATCAAGATTTATGACATGGGAGTTATAATTGTATAAGATTGGAGTGAGATAGATATTAAGGGAGTTATAAGTGTTCAAGATGAGGCAATATACCCACAAGATATCTGTAAAATACATGAATTCCAATTAATTGGCCAAAAGTCTATAAATGTTGTATAGTGAAACAAGATATGAATTCATATTACATAGATACATGAACATCATTTATTCATATATTAAGAAAATGATAAGAATGACGAGATCAAGACATGGGTCATTTTATAGAATAATTGATAATGAATTTAGAAGTATTGGTTCATCACATATCTATGATTTATGATTTATGTTCACATGATTGTTTCAGTTGAGATATATGAATGATTTCATGCACATTATTTATATATGTTATGTATTGATTTTAACAGTAGGTTATGGTAACCTACTGAGCCATGTGTTTATTATGTAGTTGCTTCTATATTTTCAGGTCAGAATAGGAATCCAGTGGAGTGAGGCAAATTAGGAGACCTCAAGGTTATTTTCTATATTTTTTGCTTTATTTGTATTCATGATTATTGAATGGATAATTGAATTGTGTAGATATCATGGCTATTGTATATAACGGTGATTTTTAGGTTATGTCGAATATGTTGATATTTGGATACATAGGAATGTAATTATGTTCTCCGTTGTTTACATTATCTAGGTTAAATTAGTAAGATCTCATTGATGATTACAAATATAAAAAGATATAATTCTTTCCAATTTAAATCTTGGGCGTCACAAATATTATGAGGGGTGGTCGGCTGTTTGGGGTGGAGATGGGGAGGAGGTTGACGGCTTGGAGAGAGAAAAGAGATGAGGAAAGGTAGGGGAGGGGAAACCGAGAGCCCGGACACTTCCTGCGGCTAGCGGGAGTTGTTTTTGCTGTTACCTAGGGACTTCACCTCTCTCTAGAGCTCTCAACACTCAAGGGAGCTGGAATGCAGAAATTTTCATTTATCAATCATCATCACATACAATAGTGAGGGCCATCATATATAGGCCTCCAAGCAACAAAGACACAAAAACTAAAATGCCCTCTGGGCTACAACACAAACTAATCTTTCACAGGGGTACAATGATACAAACTAAAACATAAACAAAAATAATACATAAAATGCATCATAAATAAATACTCCTAATCGTAGCCGTCGATCTACGATTTCTCAGGTGATAGACGCACCGGAATCTCCTGCTAATGTCCTCATCACTAGTTTATTAAGTATGAATGATTAAAAGCTAAGTGCAGGCGTCAATCAAAATCCCAGATAGTATGAACAAACTCAGAGGCACGGACCAACATTAGTCAACATAACAGATGACAGAAACTTTACCATACACTTTAGAGCTTAGCCAGGAGTGATCTTTAGATCAGATCTAGCCTCATAGGACTTCCCAGAGGAAGCCTCAATGGGTGTAATAAGTAATAGATGAATAGAGGTGTTACTAATCTTGAAGACATTAAGTGTTATCACGTGAGTTGTCGATAAAATTCATGTGATATTGCTAATGATGGCCTAAAAGGATAGGTGAAAATTTTGTAGAGGACATCATCCTATATCTTTTCTTAGTAACTAACTAGCAAGATAGGACTAGACAACACTATGTAACAGAAAAGGATGTCAGGTTCACCTAGGCCACAAGTAACAGAGTTGACCATGGCGTACGTGTTAAATGGAATCTAAGCAAGGCTGTTTTAGAAATATTATTCATATTAATCCTACCATCAATAATCAAGTACAAGATTGCGGGAAAAGAGTAAGAAAAACTAGGGTACATATTGGACTCAAGAATGAAAAAAGAAAAGAGAATCCTGAGCCAACATTGCAATCCAGGCTTTTGATTGCCAAGGACAAGGCATGGACCTACTCGGGCTTCCTTTTTCCCTTATCAGATTAGGGGAATACAATGAATCAGGAGTTGATTCTTCCTCCATGGGAAAATACTGATTATTTAAAAACGTTTTCTTCTAATAATCATAGGCCACCAACGTTCAATAAGGCGTTTAGGCACCAACATCCGGACATACAAGTGTATCTTCACATGTACCATCATGTATAGAGGCCACATTTACCTATGGTGCTCAGCTGTGCCATAACTACATCCACCTATTGGTTCCACATGAAATCCAGCAAGGGGGAAGAAGTCAAGCTCGTGCCATTGTTTCACTGAATCGTCCAACATGATCATGATGTCAATCTTTCCCTGTGTTTCTAGGCGTATAGAAATATTTAAAAATTGAATAAATTTGATAAATAGTGACATTAAATAGGTTTGGGAAAGGCCAAGCGTTCACAATATAGATAGATAGAAGGATAAATAAATAGAAAGGTAGATAGAGAGATTGCTTTTGGATATAGTTTTTGCAGAAGCTTACGAGTAAGCAAAACGTCCAAGATGAACCAAAAGAAACGGGTAATTGAATTTTGAAATCAGAATTTGGACCAAAAAGTTTCTATTATTCCTTCTTCTGCAGGCTATGCAAATGAGGCTCCCTTTGAGAACCAATGCAGCCATTGAGGTGGAATAAGTGTCCTGACCCATATTTTCCATAACATGCGTGGTTTGTTGCCTATATGACCGGGCAAGGATTCACAATGGGTTTAAAGAAGAGAACATTTGATAAATGGTTACAGTTTATTATCAATATGTCTACATGGTTTCATTTAAGGATTACAATCACGAACCTGGATGATATGTGCTCTTGAATTCTTGGACCATCTTATTCTTCATGATAGCATTCCAGACAGCTTTGTCAGTTGCCAATGAAATCACCATGTTCTGAATTGTTTCAAATTTCAGTAAAGATGAACAATAGAACATGTGACTCAGCTCAAAAACTAAATAATATTCCAGCATCAAATTCAAGCTACTTTGCAATCAGGTGAAAAATAAAAAAGCTGCCATCTAGTAATTCAAATGCATAAGATAATGAGACTAAATACAACATTAAAGCTGTTTGACTCCTTGTTAAAATAGTATTTAGAATGTCATGCTATCAAAATGTCAGTCATTCCATCAAATGTTGTTTGAGTGGTTCAATGCTGTGATTTATAAACGTCCAAGAAAAATGTTATAGCAAGAAAAATGCATACATTATATGATAGATATAGAAATGACAGATATGAATGATGATAAATTAGACAAAGAATAGATATGACAGATGATAGATAAGATAGATAGATGATATGTTTTGGAGATCAAATCAGCACCCAAAACAGCCACTAGAGCAAAATCAGCACCAAACAGCGAAAAACAACCACTAAAATCAAGAGAAAACAATAATGATATTCAAGAACAACGCTAATAAAGCTGAAATGATAATTTTCAATCAAAGAAATACAATATACAATTGATTCACTATTCAAGAGGTGAATCGACTCTATCCCAATTTCCTAGAAGTAACTAGGAATCCAAAATCACCTAAGAAAGACAACTTCAAAAAATTCTTCACTTAATCCGTCCCACATACAGACTTTCCACCTTAAAACTAGCCATAATCCCACCATAAATGCACCTAACATTTCCTCTAATAATCTCCTCTTAAACTTTTCGAGCCATAAATGTACCTCACATATCCTCCAATAATCTCCCTTAAACTTTTTCCTCTTATAGGTCTGAAATGAGGTGCTTGGACCCACAAAACAAGAGCCTTTTGGCTCCTGGAATTTCGCCGAGTTGTCACCCATAGGAATGAGATCCACAACCATATCGATACTACCCTTCCAAAAAGTCACATTTGTCCTTAAGGTGGAAAGAAGGAAACTGCCTCTGGATGGTGCTGAAAACTTCCAATGTCGCTTCATATTTTGGTAAATTTTTCACTTGATCAATACTTCATTTATCCCCTTGTCTCCTTGGAGCACCCTTTGCACCTTTAGTGGTTCTAATATTAGCTCCATATCTTCTGACAGTGTAGCCAGTAGTGTGGCAAGGGTGTATGGTCAGCAATGGCTCGTTTCAGCTGCGACACATGAAATGCTAGATTGATGGTTGAAGTTGGTGGCAACAGTAGGAGATAGGCGACCGCGCCAATGCGCTCCACAACCTCGTAGGACCCAAAGTTTCAAGGGGAAATCTTCTCGTTCCTTTGTCGAGCTAGATTCATCTGTCTATAAGGTCAGATCTTCAGATACACGCTATCTCCAACCTCTGATACTAAACTGCACATTCCTTTTGTGTCCATATGTTTGTTTTTTCATAATTTGTTGTGCCCGTAGTAGATGTCCCTTCAATTCTGCCAAGATTCTATCCCTTTCTCCCAAGTATTACTCCACTGACGATATGGTGTGTTTTCATGCCCATAATATAACAGATGAGGGGGATCTCTCCCATATAGAATTTTAAATTGTGTTATCAGGGATGTTGTCTGATATGAAGTGCTATACCAGTAATCTGCTCAGGCTAGCCATTTGGTCCACATCTTTGGGATATCCGAGACAAAGCAACAAAGATAAGTCTCTACACTGCGATTTATCACCTCCATCTGGCCATATGTCTGAGAGTTGTGAGCGGTACTCCGCTTCAGTATAGTCCCCTACATCTTGACTAACTCCTCAAAAAATGGCTCAAAAAGATCTTATCCCAATCAAACACTATAGACTTGGGTATGTCATGCAAATGGACCACCTATCTAATGAAAGCAGCTGCCACTGACACCACAATGTATGGGTGGCGAGGGGAATGAAATGAGTGTATTTGCTCACTCTGTACACCACCACTAGAATCACGGTGAATCTTTCTGACTTAATCAATCCCTCGATGAAGTCCACAGTCACCTCTTCCCACACCTTGGGTAAAAATAAAGGCTGTAAAAGACCACTTGGAGCCATAGCCTGATATTTGTCTCTAGCATACATCAGAGCTGGCCACCAACTTCTTTACATTCTTCTATATGCCCACCCAGTATAGCTCCATTATCAGTTGATGATATGTCTTTGGGATTCTCGAATGTCTCCCAATAGTGTACCATAAAACTCCTGCAACAAGTGAGCAATGTGTGGTGTTGTCCTTAATAGCACAAACCGTCCATGGTATAGAAACTTCAGACCTGCCAAAGAATAACCAGGATGACTATCCTTGTTCTGCAATAGATCTCCTATGCTTTTACTCAGCTCTTCATCATGCTCGCTCTCTTGCTTCAAGACCTCCCAATCCACCACCATGAGGACCGATAGAGCCATAACATGGGGATCTACACTACGTATAGAGAGAGCATCTGCCGCTTTATTTTTCAACCCGGGCTTGTATTGGATCCCAAAGTCATACCCCAACTTGGAAAGCCACCTTTGATGCTCTTTTGTCACCATCCTCTGCTCCAGCAAGAACTTCAAACTCCTCTGATCGATTCTGACTATGAAGTGCCGCCACAACAGGTAAGATCGCTAATTCTGAATTGCTAACACAATCATCATAATTCCTTTATATAATGATTTCAATATGGCCCTAGCAGTCAACACTTTGTTGAAATAAACTATCGGCCTCTGCCCTTGCATGAGAACTGCTCCCAACCTATAGCTTGATGCATCAATCTCTATTACAAACGACTGGTTGAAATATGATATATAGTGCTAACACAAGGATACTAGTCATGGCTTTCTTAAACTGCACATGCCTGAGTAGCTACCTCCCCCCATTTGAAATTGTCCTTCTTCAATTGCTCTGTCAACGGCCAGGCTATAGAATTATATCCCTTCACAAACTTCTTGTAATATCCTGTGAGTCCCAAGAACCCCCTTAGTCCCTTCAAGTTTTTAGGCACTGGACACTCCACCATTACCTCTATCTTGGTTGGATTCGCAGACACCCCGACTTGAGACACTACCTGCCCCAAAGACTCCACCCTCTGTTGCGCAAAAGAGAACTTCTTCAAGTTGGCATATAGGTGGTGCTCCTTCAAAGTTCCCAACACCATCCCCAAGTGCTCCAAGTGCTCCTCCTCTGACTTGTTATAGATAAGGATGTCATCAACGAACACTAGAGCAAACCTCCAAAGATAAGGCTTGAACACCCTATTCATGAGAGACTGGAAAGTGGCAATGGCATTAGGGAGGCCAAAAGGCATCACCAAGAACACAGTGTCCAAACAATAACAAAGAACACATGGATTGGTCATGTTTGTGAGGTGTGGGCTTTGGATTGTAAGTGAGTGGGCTATGTGAAGGAGACAACTTGAAAACGAAACTAAACGTAAGTTTTCAGTTTGATTTTCTGTCTATTTTATTGATTGAATTCCATCCCCCATCATCCTTTTTTAATTTATTAGTCAACACCTGTTATATGAGAGTGCACCCTCCACAACAACTTTGCATGGCAATCAATTATAACAGTGTGAGGGTAAGCATAGGGAGCATGGGATGAAGGAAGCACTCCATCCCATGCTCTCTACCTCTATAGCTCGCTCACATTTGCTCTCTCTTATTGGTTGTATCGTTTGGCATCATAGCTTGAAGGGAGATATCTCCGCCTTGAACCAGAACAGCAACTAGACCTAGTTTACAACTAGTTGATGTAAGGAGAACAATATTCATTACAACAAGTTCATACAAGGAGAACACTATCCCACTGTTCACCCTTAATGTGCACTAAATAAGGTTTAATTATTATTTAATGCACTACTTAAGTCAATTAAAATCCTAATTATCAATATTAAGACTTATTTTATCTAATAGTTCGAAAGCTAATTAAACTAAAACTAACCTTAATTAATGAATTTGGTTGAACGCTCAACTAATACAGAAAAATAATTGGACATGTAATATAGATTTAATTTGATGCAATGATCTTTCTTTTGGATTAAAACAAAAACCTTGTGAATGATTTTAAAAAAAACGGGAGCTAAGAAACTTTTGATCTGACTCGGATTTGATCACTTCCTTGTACATCCTCATTAGCAGAGATTCCTTCGTATATCTTGAGTTGAAAGGCCTTGAATTTTAGAGGTACAATATGATCTAAATTCTAGGGATAACAGGACAGATATGCACGGTGCTCCAAACATGGAGAGGAGCATGCATATCGTTGATTACAATGCATTTTCCCTTATTTGTCGGATAGACAAGAAGGATAGCAGGAAGAGCATGGAAAGTGCAGGGGACTTATAAGGCTTTTGTGAGACCGACTGCCAATTTGTTGTTAGAGATCATTAAAATAAGTATCAAGCTGGCCATAAGTGGCACATGTCATTTCCATAAGTTTTTCCATGGTTGAGACGGATGTGGGACCCTTAGTAGACATCATTGCCACAACAGTCTTCTTCTATCATGGCTCATCATCTTCACAAATAATGATAGACCTTGCCACAGACTGCGCCAAGAAAGTGAAAGATGTAAATTTATTTGCCTAATTACTTGAGAGATTCAAGAGAAAAATATCACGTCTATACTACTCTATAAGGAGTTAGTGAGAAAGCAATTGCTATGAGACATAAACCTTTTAGGTTATTATCTTCAATAGACAAGCAAGAAACATATAAGAAATAAATTGGTCAACAGAATGTACAAGAAGTGCAGACTCTTGAGAAGCTGCTTGAGGTCGCCTTGCCAGGAGAGATGAGAGGGAAAGTAGAGGTCAAATCAATAATGATTGCACCAGCAAAGTGTAAGCATGTGATTGCATAATATGATACGAATGAATTTTGATAGTTACAACTTACAACAGGTACTTTATTTTTAACACAATAAAGATATGTTGAGAAAGTATTAGAAAGACTTGGATTGTAGGCTACAAGACATATCACACATCGATTTTGCCAGTCATTTTCACTTTTGACAGCTTCTCCTCAATCATATGAAGAGGGTAAGTAAATGAATAGAGTGACTTATGCTAGCACAATTTATGCTAGTACTGTTAGAAATAATGTGTAGCTAGCGGCAGCGCGTGAGAGGAGAGAATGTTACCTTCACAGGCAAGCTCTTGTTGTTTGCTCCGATCAAACAAGGAGGGAGGAGGTCGGAATGGAGTCGACCAACGACGGAGGAACCGGAGTCGGGCGGCGTGCACGGCAGGGAGGAGTTCGGTCGGTCCTCTGGACGGGATCGGACGGGGCAGTGGCAAGAAGAGCTCGGTTTGCTGGAGTCGGCTACAAGTATGTGTATCGATCTCTCTCTCTCTCTCTTTCTCTCTCTCTCTCGGCCAGAGGAGGTCGGATTGGCGTCGGGTCTGGAGATCGAAGAGGGTTCGGAAGATGGGGGGCTTCGACGTCGGCTTGAGGTCGGATGAGGCAGAGATCGGGAGTAGCGATCGTGTGAGCAGCGACGGGAGAGAGGTATCGGAGCTCTGCGATCGTGTGGGAGGAAGTGTGGGGGAGATGAATCGGGAGCAGCCCGAGAAGCCTCCCTTCCTTCGCTATTTAACGACCTCTGCGGACGCTCGATCGAGGCCGGTTCACGGGAATAACGGAGAAGTGTTCGCAGTTGCAGCGGGATTTGATCGGTTCGGCAGTCCGAGGTACGCGATGTTTCAGCTGGATTCGCGAGATTTGATCGCAAATCAGAGCAGCTCGCAGGATTTCGGGGATCCTTCGACAGTCTGAGGTATGCAGGATATCCGGCAATATTCGTGGACCCGATGGATTGGAGCAGGTATACATTTCATTTTTATTCTTCTTTGGGTATTATATGGAGGTCAACAAATAGTCTGGCTTGGACCGGCCAGTCCATGCATTTACGTATCTATCAAACTCGAGCAAACCGTCCCCCTCCTGCTCCTCCTTCCCCCGGATCGCGACCAGCCGCGTAGAAGCCGCCAGTTCGCACCTCGTTCCTCTCCCCAATCACGTAATACACAAGATTTCAGCACTTCTTGAAATCCTACTTCCCTTGCAGCCTTCCTTTTTGTCATTTAAGGTGAAGAAGGGAACGTAGGGCATCATTACAAACCTTCCCTTACCTCTCTCACAGTCACCAAAAGCCCTACTCCCTCTCGCAGTCGCTAAACTTCTTCCCTATTCTTCATTTTCTTTTCTTCCCCGTGAACAACAACTGTTGTTAACAAAGAAGATCTCTACATCTTCTACCTCTTTGAGCGTGTTGGAGTCTTCATTCTTTCCCTTAGATTAAAGTTGGGTTTTCCTCATCTATCTTTTCCCTTTGATCGGGATCATTCATCAAAAGTTTTTTTTTTATTAATGATATTTTGGGATTATAAATTTGATTGTTGGCATTAAATTTTAATTGAATATACTTTCTTGGTTTTGTATATTTTTAGGTTGCTCTTTTCAACATAATCTTTTTTGGCCTGAATCATTTAAGCTTGATTAAGCATATTCAATAATATATATATATATATATATA